CCAGCTTGACATCAGGACCCAACCTTCCACCCCTGGACTTTCACCACTGGACTCACCTCTTTGCACAGCTTCCCCCCTCCAGCAAACTAAATTAAAAGTTCACCTTTAACTATCAGTAAATGTTCATGGTGTAATGTGCCACTAAGGAATACACTTGATGCTCTTATGGAAATTGGCCATTTTGTACTACACAATTAAGTACTGTTTTACACTGTGGGTTTTTTTTTTTTTGCCTAAAAAATAAAGCATTAGAGATTCTTCACTAATAAAAAAGAATCATCCTGTGGTGAAAGAAGAAAATTTCTATACTGAGCCATAGCACGAGTAATACGTTACACTTTAAAGTTTATCAAATGCAAAACATCAGGAAGCAGCCTAACTTAAATAAAACATGCAATCTGTAACTACACAAAGTTCTGTGCATATTATAGAGAAAACTGTACATGTAGCATAATCAGGGTCTGAACTTAAAGGCAGTTTAGCTTACCTTTCCTCTCTGCACCAAACATTTTGTGCATTAATATAGACTACAGAGTTAGTGTGCCCTTCTGTCCACTACAGGGTTTAAGGCAGATTTTTCTGCTAGAAGTGCTCAAATGAAAGCAATTCAAGATCAATTGTTCTCTTTGAAAGGAAGGTTACAGCTGTCATTCTGATACCAACTCGTGTTGCAGCATCTCTCTTCCATAATGCAGGATGTGGTTTCCATAGAAATATCTTCTTACATCAGTATCTACAAGCCTTCCAATTATTCCCTTTTGGACATCTCATGCAATCCATTAAAATCTTTTCAGAGCAGGCTCAATTACTATTTAATTACTTGGTGAGAAGAAAAAGAAAAGGACAATTAACAAACAAGAGCTTTATTTAAAACAGTGCACGGGATGGAGAACATGTGCCTTGGAAAAATATATATATATGTATATATAAAATCTATCTTACCTGAAGCAATCTCTCTGGTGTTACAAATTATGAACAGTCAATTATATTTTTAAAAAAATGCACAGTGATTTTGCTCTTTTTTGAGAGTGAAATTATGGTGCAATTCGGAGTTGTTTGCTGGCCTTATCTCCAGCTAAGCCCCTGAAGCCTGCTCTTTTTTGAATCCTGTGCTGAGTCCTGCACCTTATTCTAAGTCCTCTTGTCCAGGATCCTGTGGGTTTAGAATGCTTGTTGCTGCTGCTGTGTCATCTTTATTTTCTACGGCATCTTCTGCCACTTTCCCAACAGAAATGTATTTGACGCCCTGAAATTAGAACCGAGACACAGGGAACATCAAATTACACACAAACAACCAATGACTTGATCCTAATATAAAATGCCTTTGTCAACCGAGGCAACCATAAACATGCAAAGCAAGAAACTTAGCCACATTGTTTGTACAGAACAGTTTAATCCCGCTGCTCTGCCTGAGTTCCCAGAAGTGTCAGCTTAAAGAAAACTGGGAGTACACGGAGCCTTGATCTGTCTGGGTGGGCTCTGAAGCCACGACCACAGCACATAGCACAAGAGTGTGCGCCACGGGGGCCAGTGCTGCCACGGCTCCCCCAGGAGACCCACATCTGAAGAAAACAAACTGGTTTAATTGTTGTGCAGCAACCCAAATATGCTGGGGAAACAACCCCTACAGCTCTTTGTTTGGCTTCCACTCCTCTCTCGTTTTTCTTTACTACTTGAAAAAGCTTCGTTATTGTGATTTCTTTCCTTGGGTGTAAGGTCCCTGACTAGGTCTAGGGTGAATGGGGCAATCCAGACCTCACCGCCTGCTTTAGTCTTCCATCATGCAAAAAATAATGTGAAATGTCCTGGGTCACCTAGCCTCCAAACTACTGCTGAGTAGCCCATCAGGGAAACACCCATAGTTGTTTATGGCAGTGTCTCATACTTAAATCTGGCAACCTTACTAAAAAGGAAAAACACAGTGATGAAATAGCAAAAAAATGATAAATCAATCACTGTACCTTATTCATGTGGTCTGCACCACATGAATGAGTTTACTGCTTTGAGCATACTTCACCTGAGGGCCCTCTTCATTATCTGGAGAAAGAAGGTGAACGACTTTTCCTAGAAAAAAAAAAATCAAGATGAAAAAATATTATTATATATCTGTGGCAACAGTTCATTTAAAAACAACCCCCCCAAAACACATTTGAATGCTACCTTTATAGATGTCCAAGCCCTCTTGCTTTGCTTTGGTTAACCAAACCAAGGGCATGGATGACATTGCCAGACAAGACAATGGCACCTGCTTGAGGTGGCAACAGTTATGTTTTCTGGTAGCTACCTGAATGACACTTATACATTTTAAAGCTGGCATGTTTTGAAGGTGCAATCTCTCAATTTCTGCATAAGCATTTCCCATCTATAAACTGTTTAGAAAATGCTTTTGATTGTCTTTTCCTAGCTTCCATTATCCTCACAGATGAAAATATCACACGGAACACATTTAAGAGAGTTTGTGCACCTGATTTTTGCTGTTTCAGAAGAATCGTAACGAGGCATGTTGTCTACAACTTGTAATAAACAACAAAGTAGCACTAAGTAAATCTGATTTTGATTACTATTTGAAGAAAGAGAGGTGAAAACCAGACAAACGATACTGAACTATAAAGACCTCACTAGCATAGCCAAGATAGTGCTGCTGCCCTATTGCAAGAATACTTTAATCTAAGAATCCGATTTTTTATTCCCTAAGGTGAACACCCACACTAGAAACAAAAAGTCTCTGGCTCTTTATTAGCTTGAAAGTTAAGTGGAGAGTCCGCTTACCTCCCACACGCTCAAACAACATATCCCTTAACTCCCTTTCAGAAAATACAGATACTCTAATTCACATAAAGGATTATAAGCAATCATTTCAAATTGATTTTAATTGCTTAGTCTCCTTATTTTACACATTAGTAATATATATAAAGCAAAAATGTGAAACTAAACTACTTTATACAACTTAATTCAACGCCAGCAACTAAGGCCCAAATATATAATCATATTAAATGACTGATCTGCTGATCCAAAGTGCCCCAGGAGATGCTTGTCACTGTGTTTCTGTTACCAGGACTATTTGCTGTAAATAAAACCATTTTCAAAACAACAAGAATTAATTAGTTCAGATTGAATAATTGTAGCTCTACGTGATGACACAAAGGCACAAGCCTTATTACAGGTATATGCATACATGTATAGAGAAAGAGATACAGATTTATGCCTATGTATTTGCACACATCCAAAGTTAAGTGGCTGTTGCAATATACAGAGTGCTGCAGTTTATCTGTACTGCCACTAGATGCAGCCACATAACCTTTCAAATTTTAAGATTTTGTCCTCCTCTGACTCTTTGGAGTATACATGTCTGTATAATTCTTACAACAGCATTAATAGAATTAAATTCCAAGTCCTGAAAACAATATAGTATAGATAAATTTCCAGTATTTTTCTCATTAACTTTGTTCCAAATCATAGTATTGCATATGTGGATGGGATTTAAGAACAGAATGAGACCTGCTTATTCACAGAATTGTTGCCATAGATCCAGATTGGAGCTGACAGGGCTGAATTACACTGTGATTTGCCCTCAATAAAACAGAGAAAAGAAGACTGAAGGTTTTGGGTTCCCAAACCCCCCACAAAGATCCAACTGACCGCGTGCATATGGAACAGGGACAACTCCAGCAAGTTCAATGCGATCCCACAGCGTTTTCCTCACCGTGCACATCACTACTTCGGCAACACAAGCTTCTCTCTGCATATATGGTGAGCACCAAGAAGGATCCTCCAGGAGAGCAAGTGATAAAGGACTTCCACTCAAAAATACTTCTGCTCTTTCGAGTATTATCCAATAGTATGAAGCCACGGAAAATTCTCCTGTTATTCCCAGCTATCAGAGGGAATTATGCAGGCACAACATTGACTTTAGGACCAAACAAAAACAGGGAAACTCTTCCCTACATTTAACAGGTGTTACTTTTTCTGTGCTGCTCTTTAATATTTCCCTGGTGCATGACATATGTAGTACTGGGATAATATAAGCACAAGAAGCACATGAGCAGATTCCATATGTAATACAAATATAATAGCTGTATTTCTCACCTACACGTTTTAAACACTGTTTTTACAGTAAGTTGATTTTCCTCTGAAGATAGATGAAATAAAGTCTACTCAGCACATTCTGTGTCTAAGAAAATGATCCCCAATGAGCTGTGCACCAGACTGAATATCATTTAGAAGGCAGATTTTTTAATTATGAATTTTAGTGGCAGGTCCATGTGCTTCTGCTCTGTTCCTATATTAAGATCACACTGAGGTTCACAGTTTATATATGAAAGATCCCAATTTCTAGTTTATATAGAAGAAGACTTCCTCCTTCTTCCTTATGTAAATAGAAATATCTCAATTACCTGAAGAAATGGTCAAAGCAGTTCCCAAGCCTTACTTGTAGTTTTTAATGGCAGCCATTTAGATAGGATTTACTTATGAGTTCAGATCTTTTCTGTTTGTTTTTCTTTTTTTTTTTCCTGCTTGTTTGTTTTTATATAAAATTACAATACTAAAAAAAGTATATTCTCCTCCACGAGCTTTCTGTTTCCTAATCTGATCACACCTCCGTGCAATTGCCATAATAAACTGAACTGAGCAAGATGGATTAAAGGAAAGAGCAACGCCAGTTTTTGTTGGTTTAAAGCATGCGAAACATAAATATAATGAATGGCTTCAGAGGAACCCAGCCCAGGGCAAGACTCTGGCTCAACTCTCCTGTGGGGTTTCTGCAGACAGGATGAAATGCAGTGTCTCAGCTGAAGGTCCCCAAGCCAGTACAAAGCAAGACAGATGTGGCAAGGCTTGGGAGCAATGTGCTCGGCAGCTCTCCTTGCTGGAAGTGCAGCAAGGACAATGTGTGCCCTTCTTTGGGGACCCAATGCTGATCACAGCTTGTGCGCAGGCAGCGGAGGGGTCTGGCTGGGTCCCAAGGCCAGCTGAACAGACATGGTCAGCAAGATCCCCACATGAACCACCAGAAAGCTTTGCTACTCGATTGCTACCTGCTGTGAAGGAGGCAAAAATGCTCCCAGCAAGCAGGATTTACCCCCTAGGACAGTACTTTGAATCTTCCAAATGCCGTAACGAAAATGTTTGTGTTTCCACCCAAGAATGGTTTTGGCAGCAAACCGAAGGTAATTAAACACATTGCCCATTAGCCAAATTTCTCCTTGTAATAATTGGAGAGAAACAAACCCTCTCTCTAATCCAGACATGGTGTTGTGCAACAGAACTCTTTTTGAGCTAGCTTCCGCCCTGTTGAAAGCACACTGCAAGGGGACTCACAGCCACGTTATGCCAGGACTTTGCTTTGTTCGGTACCTCTCAGATGCTCTGCCTCTCAGTTTCATTACCTCATAATTTCGAAGAATGGTCCTGTTTACTGGAAAAGGACCAATGAACCGAACTGCGCACTCAAAAGTTTCAGTATGCACAAAGAATATAAAAGCTCATTCTTTGATTCTTCCTAAGCTTTGATTTTAATGCTTATCTTCATATAACTAGCATGGCTAAATTCACACTGTTCATTTAACTCACTTTCTCAAAGGGCTGACTCCATCTGAATTTTTAACCATATATCCACTCCTTGGCTCCAGGCTCCTGGTGCTTCCACCTCCCACAGTCGATTCTGCTCCTCAGAATAAGTTTGCAGGAATTTCTGGCCAACTGAACAAGAGAAACCAAGGGGCAAAAGCATGAATGAGTGGGAAGCACAATGGAAGAGGGAGTATACCTAGCTTGGAAATCCTCTCTGAGGATGAAACATCCTATGGAAACATCCTCTCCTCTGATCATCCTTTTCTCTTTCTCTCTTTCAATGTTTTGAAAAGACACTTTTAGCTGGGCCTTTTACAGAAAATCTAGGTGGAATGGGCACGAGCAAATTCTGTCCATCTACTTTGGTCTACGTGACTTTCTTGTGAGTGCAGAGTACAGGACTTGAAAGGACTTACAGGGCCATCAAGCTGTCACTTCTGCAGCCACTGCACTTCCAAACTGCTTCCAGGCCCTTGTCAGGTTCTAGATTAATCACAGCGCGAGTTTTTTGCCCTCACGACTCTGCAAGGAAAGCCATTTCAGTATCTCCCAGCTTTGATCATCAAGAATGCTACTCCAATTTCTAATTTATGAACAGAAAATTTCTATCAGATTGTTCTTGGGCCAAGCAGTTTTCTGCTTCTACCTTGCATTCTGCTGCTGGGGATAATTTGCTTCCCTGGTGGGGGCTCATGAAATAAGAACAGCTGACAGGAATAGCATGTCAAACATGCAGCTTCCATTACAAACACACTGCCACAGACTCCTGACACAGTCTGTGTACTTAAAATATTAGTACAATTTGGATAAACTATTACATTTTGAGTCGCTTACCTTATCAAACTGAAATTTCCTATGTAGAGACTTTCTAGGATGTCTGAGGAGTCAAAAGAAGGAATATGTTGCAAGGCCAAATGGATCACAAATGGGGATTTTGAATTTTCATCAGTCTTCTACCAACTCAAGAACTAAGACAGCCACCTGTAATCACCAGACTTTTCTTCATGCTTCCTCTTTCCATTGCCATCCATCACAGTGCCAAATGATTTGAGATGGTCATTCATCTTCAACATTCGCTTAAATTAAATAATTGATTGTCAAAATGTAAATTTCAATTCTGGTGTGTAAACATTTGCCTTATAGTAATGAGCAGATCAAAGTCATTAATTTTATCAAGAATATAATCTATATTAAGTAATTCAGTAAAAACTACTGAAAGTAACATACCAAAATGGAGATATTTGGTAAGCAAACTTTTTACTCCCTTTTAGGTATTGATACCACATGAAGTAAAATGCTAGAGAAAGCAGCTCACATTCAGAGCAGAAATTTAGAGCAAAAGGTTGCATTCCTCTGTCCAACCACTGCAGTTCCAAAGAAAGATTTAAAAAGGCAGTGACTTTACTATGGTCAAAATTCAACTTACAGTATTTTTATTAAAATTTCACACAGAAATCCTAATTAGCATAAGATACAAGTTAAATTTTTTTGCTATTAACTTGGAACCAAGATGAAAAGCATAATCTTGCAACATGAATCTAGTGATAAATAAGCAGAGCATTCCTAACCATACTGTCTAAATCATGTGATGCTTGCAAAAGGAGAATCTGGTTTTGCTGAACTGAGCAAAAGAATGGTGTCAATACTATTCTTTTCTGAATTTAGAGGCAGCAATATCTTAGGAGCTCCTGGGATACATTTACATACATTCAGTGGCACATATGGACCAGGAGAGAGAGAGAGAGACAGAGAGAGAAAAGGCAATTAAAAGTCTGTTGATACTTAGTAGGAAATGATTGCAAAGCCATATTTGATAGAAAACCCCCCAAAATAACTGAAAAATCTCTACAGAACATATGGAACAACATACTTGTTTAAAAAAACATTTGCTTCTGAATTACATAGTTTTATAAAGAATATTAGCAAGGATATTTTCTGTAAATGTTCCTACCAAAGCCATAACCCCAAAACACAGAGGATACACAACTATTTAATAAGTTTTTAAAAGTAGCAAATGTTCAGAGATAGTCAATGTTTTGATAAAGAAACAAGTGCTGACAAGACAGGATGAACGAGCAGAGCTCAGGTGTGGTGCTTGTCACTGTCTAATACAATAACATTGCCCTATTTCTTATAGATAGTGCAATAAGAATGTAAGATGCTAAATAGCAGTCTGAATTTTGTGTTTCTCTTTGTCTTACGTAAATATTGGCCTACCTTGGCAGGAAAATTCTAAATATCTCAAGAAATATCTCAAGAGCATGCTAACAATATTATCTTTCAGTTCAGGTGCGTGCACAGAGCTAAGAAAATCCTACCAAGACTATATTGAAATTTATTCATTATATGTGACCCTTACCTGATGTTGCCACATCAAATGTTTTACCTTGATACACAGCAGCAGAAATAGGGCGGCCGATCCCTAACGCTTCCTCACCCACAGAAGACCTACAGAAATCCCGCAGCGTTTTCATCCCTAGGCCACCTCCTCTGTACTTTGACTGGACAAATACAGTATCCAACACTGGCAGCAAATATGTGCATTTTACCATATATGGTCAAAATGCCCCAATATGGCAACCAGGTGTGGGACAGCCATATTGGGGCCTTTTGATCATATTTGGGCATTTGCCAGTATGGGCAAAATGGCCATATATGGCAATCAGGTGAGATGACCATATTGGGGCATTTTGACCATATTTGATTAACATGCGCAAGTTAGCTGAAAAAACATAACTGGGTTACAGCTAAAGAGGGATAAATATTCCCAAAAGTAATCCCAATAGCCTTAGATTATTCCGGCACACCACCCCACCTAAACTCTTCTTACGACAGCACAGCCTGCCCATTCAGACGGTGCATGATGCAAGCGGACAACGGCAAAAGCGGCCAGAGGAAACTCCAGTGATGTTTTCAGGATGGAAGCCAGCGGTTCATCCTGGCTGCAGGGAAGAGGCGTGTGTGCGCCAGCCCCTGCATCCCTTGGTGCAATGATACCATGGAGCACGGCTCTTGACCAGCTCTGTTGTTTGCGGTTTCATCCTACCTACACAATCACCGGTCAGAAAGTTATACACCTATATCCCATATTCCAGTAGTATTTTAACCCCAAATCTACTCTAAACCATAAATTCCTCAAAAGAATATTTCTTTCTTTCAGTTATTTTTACCTGCCAACACATTCCCAGGAGCCATCTTCAAACCTTCACTGGGAAGGGATCCACATAAAAAGTATGGGGATTATGCCCCTAAAACTGGGAGCAGATCCCTGACTGCACCCCCTCCCAGGATCTCTGTGCCAGAAGAGGAGACCACCACAACTGAGGGCATTTCCTATCAAATGAATGGTGTAGTAAGCAAAAACTGCTCCTTCGTAAGTCATTTAATTCCAGTTAAAACATGGTATCTTATCTTGTATATATGTCCATTGCCTGAACTACTATCCATGTTAAATTAGGGCTTTTATTCAAGCACAGTCCTTGCTAATAAATACATTAAGTCAGTCACTTGAAATCATGGGGACATGACGTAAGAGTCTAAATGTTCTTTTAAGGACAAAATATACACTCAAGTATAAGACTCCAGATGATTAAACTGAACTATTTCTCAATTAAAACTGTCCAAAAAATAGTTCCAGCACCAAGGGATTTATTTTGCAACCATGCATCGTAAACTCAAATTGAAGTCAAGAGAAAGTTAATTAAGAACAGACATTCAGGGTCCAAACTTTCAGTGTTCACCCTGAAAAACTCAGGGCCCAACTGCAAGTTTTGGGAACTCTTTGTACAACTTCCTTAAATTACAAAATGCCACTAAAAAATAGAACCCCAACTGTTTGGAAATAAAAGCATTTAACCCCCAAATAAATGATTGCTACTAGTGTTCCATCTGCCTACATATAGGAAAAAAAACTCACCTCTTGATGATGTTTTTTTTTTAATATTTAAAGATATCTATGAAGATTCTCTGCATGTTATCTCAGGGTATGTGACGGTTTGAATAGAAATGGTTCCTTCATGCCAGGAAAAAGCTGAAAGATGACATTTTCTTACTTTGTTGGTTAAGTCTCATCCTTGGTTTTCTCTCTTACAGCACTACCTAATGTGCCACCTTATCTAGTTTTCAGTGTCTCAAGTTTGTATCAATACTCTTACTGTGACCTATTTTCTTTTTATCTCATTCACATAGTTATCTTAAATGGAAGACTATTTCAGTTCCAGGAGAAGGGAGTACTTCTTGCTGCTAGTTGCAGGGTCTGACTGAACACTCTTTTTCCTGGCATACAAGTTCACCAAAACACACATCAATATATTCAGGTCTAGACACGGATTTGTCAAGGCAGCTGCTCTCCACTTAGCAGGAATCCACGTCATATATCCCGTCATATCCCCAGCCATACGACAGAGCACGTAGCTACATAACCAACCATTCCCTTCACATCTAGGCTTGGTCTAGCCCTGCTCAAGCAGGGTGCACGCTTAACTTCAAACACATGTTCAAGCACATTGTTGGAAAAGGATGGATTGTGGTGCTGTTTATAACCTTTCAATATTTGCAAGACATGATGTGTAGTTATTCTTTTTTCATTAGCCAAGGAATTGAGTGCATCCCCAGCCCCATTGTTAGTTGCCAGCCCAGCAGAAATGCTCCATTCCAGCAGGGTTGCACCATACATTCTAAGAAAGGGACAAACTTTTCCTCATGAAGTCAATATTTTAAGAATTCCTGCCTGTGTCCTTATAAGTTCATTACTATCTCATGCAGTCTGACTCCTATAAATCCTTATAAGACTGTTGTGCAGCAATCCCAGGACCTGATTTATGTCTGTTCTCCTAATTCTGTGTTGAGAAGACAAAGACTTGCAAAGTCTAAAGGCATTGCAAAAAAGCAACCATGAAGCCATTCTTCACCTTGTCCATGGGAAAACATTAGAGAAGTCTTAGCCAAGGGCCGTTTGAAATAAAATAAACAAATAAACATTCAGAACAAAGCACATTTTGCCTCTAGGTCCCATCCAACAGCAAAGAGGTTATCATAAGCTAATGGTGGCCTGGAGTTGACCACTGCACTCCCGTGCAATCTGTTTAGAAGTTTGTTTCACTGCTGAAACACAGGGATAGCCTAAGTTTTGGGGTGAGGGAGTAGACAGTGAAAAATCAGGGCACTGGCCATGGAAGCATTTATATGGTCTGCCCTTTGAAGGCCTTTGATCTGCTTGGTTAGCTCACGAGTGCCAAACGACCAACTATGAGCCAGCAAAATGGTAAGCAGATATTACAAGGGCAGGAAAGCAGACAGCCATTAGCATTCCCGAAGAGCCACAAACCAGAAAAAAACCCACCGCTGTGTCCACATCCAACGGCCCCAGACAACACAAGGTCATGGAGAGTGACTGTTTCCCTGCTGAA